AATGACAGCCTATGTTGGAGAGGATGTGGTGTAAGGGGAACATGTCTTCACTGATGATGGGAGTACAAATTTGTACAGACACTTTGGCAATCAGTATGGTGGTTTCTCAGAAAATTGGGAATCAATTTACCTCAAGACCCAGTGATACCACTCTAAGCATATATGCAAAGGATTAACCATATCACATATCACAAGGATACTTGCTCAACTATGTTCATAGAAGCATTATTCTTTTTTTTTCTCTCCCGTTTTTACTTAAGTTAGAAACAAGCTTGTTTCATATGTCAATCCCAGCTCCATCTCCCTCCCCTCCTCCCCTGTCCTCCCAGTCCCCCACCTAATCTCCACTCTAATATTCAGGGAGGGTGAGGTCCTCCATGGTGGATCACCAGAGTCTGTCATGTTATTCAAGGCAGGGCCTAGGCCCTCCCACAAGAGTCCAAGCTGAGAGAGCATCTGTCATTGCATTATTCTTAGTAGACAGAACCTGAAAACAACCTAGACTCCCTTCAGCCAAAGAATGGATAAAGAAAATGTGGTATATTTACACAATCAAGAATTACTCACTGAAAAAAAGGGGCAATGACATCATGAAATTTGCAGGCAAATGGATGGAACTAGAAAAAAAATCATCCAGAGTGAGGTAATACACACTCAGAAAGACAAGCACAGTATGTACTCACTTGTAAGTGGATATTAGATGTAAAGCAAAGTGTTAGGCCTAAAGAAGGCTCGGATGTGAGGCCCAGTGTAGGCTCCTGAGCCTGGCTAGAGTTTGGTGACCTGTCTCTAACCTGTAACCTCCATGTTGGGGGGGTGACTCAGCCAGACCTGATGTAAGATTGCCCCCTGCCTAGTTACCTGCCAGCTTGGTGGAATACTATTGGCCCTTACTTCTCAGGTCACCTTAGCCTATCCTAAGATTCCCATCCCCTACCTCAGCCCTATATAAGTTCCTACCTTTAAAATAAATAGAGATCCTGCTTCGTCAGACCCCCTACTCATTGTGTATTTATTTCCAGGTAACTAATGGGGGGAGGGTCTGAGTTGTGGATACTCACCATCTGGCTCAGCCCAAGGAAGAGACCAGGCTACCTGCCAGAGAGCCAGCAGCAAAAGATAGCCAGGCTACAATCCTCAGCCCTGGAGAAGCTAGGTAACAAGGAGGACCCTAAGAGGGATGCGAAGATCTCCCTTGGAAAAGGAAATAGATGAGATGTCCTGGGAAAACTGGGGATGGGAGGAGGGAAGTAGAGGAGAGGGGATGGGGAAATGGGAACATAAGGTATTAGGATGGTCTGGTTGAGGGTGGGATAGAGGGTGAGAGTAATGAAAGAGATATCTTGATAGAGGCAGTCAATATGGGGTTAGAGAGAAACCTGGGCCAGAGAAATCCCCAGAAACCAACAAGAATAACCCTAGCTAAGACTCCTAGTAATACGGGAGAGGGTTCCTGAACTGGCCTTCCCCTGGTAATCAGATTAGTGACTACCTTAATTGTTATCATAGTGTCTACATACAGTACCTAATGGAAGCAGATGTAGAGAACCACAGCCACGCACTGAGCTAAACTCTGGGAGTCCAGTTGAAGAGAGGGTAGAAGGATTATATGAGCAATGGGGTGGGAATCAAGATAATGATGGGGAAACTCACTGGGAGACAGTTGACCTGGGCTTGTGGGAGCTCACAGATAGACAGCTAGTGAGCCAGCATGGTACCGAACTAGGCAGGCCCTCTGCATCTGGGTGACAGTGGTATAGTATGATCTTTTCTGGGGCCCCTAGCAGTAGGACCAGGACCTGTTCCTGATACATGAGCTGGCTCTTTGGAACCTACTCCCTATAGTGGAATGCCTTGTTCAGCTTTGATGGGGGGATAGCCTGGTGCTGCCTCAACTTGATATGCCATGCTTTGTTGATTCCCATGGGAGGCCTTCTGAATGGTGATAGAGGAGGAATAGATGAGGAGGCATAGGAAGGAGGTAGGGGTAAAGAATGAAAGGAGAGGAAGTATGGGAAACTGTGGTTGGTATGTAAAATAAGTAAAAAATGATGAATAAAAAATGTGATCATGCTCAAGTTAGCTTCATTCCAGAGATGCAGAGATGGCTTAACCTATACAAATCAATAAATGTACTAATTACGTAACTGAAGTTGGCCTAAGATTTGAAGTTCTATTTCATCCCAGTCAAAATGTGATTATAAAGGATACAAATGACAATAGATGCTGGTAAAGATGTGGAAAGGGTCTGTTATTCACTTTCTGTGGGAATGTAAATAGATCTGGCCAGTATGGACATTGATATGGAGGCCCCTCAAAAAAAGCAAACATAGAACTGCTGTGGAATAATCATTTTGTACAATAAGTTGATGTGTCATTCTGATTGGTTTAATACAAAGCTGAACAGCCAACAGCTGGGCAGGATTTTCAGGCACACAGGACAGCATGAGACAGGGAGTGATCAGTATGGGCATTATGGATGAGGTAATAAAGTTACAAGACAAAGAGTAAATTAATAGAAATGGGTTAACTTAAGTTATGAGAGCTAGTTAGAAACAAGCCTAAGCTATTGGCTGAGCTTTCATAATTTATAGTAAGACTCTGTGTCATGATTTGTGAGCTGGTTGGTGGGACAGAGGAAGACTATCTACATAGAATTTCCATAAGACCCAACCATTTCAGGGCATGCACCCAAAGGACTCTGCATCCTACCATGGGGATATTTGTACATCTGTGTCTATCAATGCTCTTTTCATAATAGCAAGAGAGTAGAATCAGCCTAAATGCCCATTAGCTGAGAAATGAAAAATGTGCTGCATGTACACAATGGGATTTTACTAATCACTCAAAGTTTCTGCTGCTGTAGCTCATGCACATTTGCTCTGTTTCAGGAGTCTTGAAGTTTTGGGTCACATTAAAGAGTTTCAAGGATAGGAATGTGTAAGCCTAAGACCACTGAGTCACTTTAGGTAATTAGTGGAAATTCTAGGTGCCTTCACATTGCCTTTCTTTCCAAATTCCTATAAGTTGTCTTCCAGTCATGACCTTCATTCACTTTTAAGTACTTACCGAGTAGCTACATGTAGTTAGAGAAATGAGAAGGACATGTGACTGCATTATTTCAATAAGAGCTAGCAACATGATTCTTTTAAGTTGAAGGTGTAAAAAGACAAACTTGTTCTTGAATAGATCTGTTTTGCAATCTTCTGGCTTGGACTTTGTATGGAACCCTTTGCCCATAATAGTATATCTACTCAACATTGATGGTCTGCCATCTGTCTTCATTTTTTTAACCTCTCCACAGGACACCATAAAAGTGGGCACTGTAGGGACATCCTACTCTGCCAACTCTTCCTTCATCCAAATGCTCATGCTTCTCTGCCCAGATAGATCCCTGGCAGAGGAGAGGCTGGCATGGGCCTCTAGCTAATGTTTGATTTTTGGATTTTTGGAAAAAGGAAATTAGAACTGGGTTGGAGGGACCTCTGAAGGGGAGGGCATTCTTGGTGAGTCTGACTTTTGGAAGGGGAGTTTTTCTTCAGGTACTCTACCCAGTTGTAACCTGTTTGCTCTCTCTACCCAGGAGAATCTGAGCCAGAACTGGAGTGGCATCTTCTGACTGGACCAGAGCTGTTCTCTTTTGCAATGGAGACTGGAAGTCACATCTCTGCTTCTTCACTATGAGTCATCTCAGGGACTCAGGCCTTTTTGCCATTGTTTCTCAGAGCCTGACCTAATACTTGGCTCATTGGCAGTGCTCAACATGTGCTTCAAGAAAGTGAATGAATAATAAAACATAAGGAAGATCAGAGTAAGTCAGAGAAAGAAGACAGAATTTAATTAGAGATCCTGTAGTTCCTAGCTTTGTTATTCAATGGCAGTGGAACAAATTCCTTTACTTTGTGAGACTCAGTTTCCTCATAAAAGAGTCATACTTGCCTCTTTGGGTTGCTAGAAGGATGGAATGATACAGAGAGGGACTCAGATCTTGGACCAGAACCAGCAGGTCTTATGGTGTGTACACTCTTTACTGGAAAGTCCTGGGTGGCTCACCAGAGACAGGGACCTGGGTCCTCACAATGTAGGTTTGGGGCCCTGTAAGGACCTAGGCATGAACTGGCTACAATGGATTGACTTGTTTGTACTTCAGTTAGAGTTCTATGGAAGCAAATGGACTTTAATCCTATTGGATTATGCTCTCAGCATGGACTTGGGAGGCCCAGTGAATAGGTAGGACAAGGGGAAGGTATGTAAGAAAGGAGACTTCCAGCTGGCCATTAATCAGTTATGCTACCTTGGGCAAGTTCCCTTATTGGCTTGTCTTTCATGTTTTCCTAAAATACTGGACAGATGGACATTGGGAGCTGCTCCAGATCCTGTATCACCTTTTGCTTACTTTTTAACCACCAACCACAGGCCAGATGCCCACACGCAGCATATTTTTAGGGGTGTACATAGATTTTGATATATTTCTTCAAAAGTTGAGGGGAAATTAGCACTAATGCTATAGCTTAGCAAAACTCTTTTTACTGTGGGCCGTCAGAATAAATAGGATCGAGTGCGAGTTACATGTAGTTTCTTTGCAAATCCAAGAGCATGCTGTCTTTTCTGCATAAGGTGTCAGAATATGAGTGTGGCACGTGTTCTTGTGAAATGACCGCACTTCTGCTGGATAATGTTTCAAATGTTGTGGATTCTAAGACTTGGATCTCAGACATGTATTTCCTGTGATATAATCCACAATTGATCCTTTTTGTTTTGAATTGGCTAATGGCTCAGATTCGGTGTTTTTCAAAGGGACCTTTCAGTTTCACAGTTTGTTCCTGTTGCTGTCATATACCCAGGAGTTCCTTCTGAGATAAACTTACCTGATACTTTCACATTATAGCAGAGTAGACTGGGGTAGGAAGTGGGAAAGGAAGAAAGCCAGAGCCAAATCCCAATCGAATAGGCCCATCATCATCATCTTAGCATTATTTGTATCTTCCTCAATTGCTTACCCATTGCAGACGTCGTTTCCAATCATGGCATAAATTACAATGGCTGGTTGGTCCAATGCCTGGTTCCTAGACAAGCTGAGAAAACATGGAGTCTGAGCAGCACTATCACCAGCAACACAGGCTGAGCCTTGGAGGAATATCCTTGTGTAACAGCTTTTCTTATTTTCTTTCATTTCAGCAAAGCTAATCAGCATTCCCATTCTTTTCTGTAATCTCAATTCAATTACCACTAGGAAATGGCATATCAATGCATACTATTGAAGAGTAGGTTGAAATCTCAGCTAAACAGATTCACTATTATCTTCTTAACATCGTTTAAAACACTATTATCAACAGGTGTAGATGAGTTTGTTGGGTTACTTTTGCCCAGTTTCACAGGATATCCTCAGAGTGTGGGGCCTACTTAATTCATACAGGTAAGGGCTTCTTTCTGTTCAGGATATTACATACTGCCTCACTTTGGAATTTTAATCCCCAGACAGACACAAAAATATTAACTTTCCAGGCATGGTATCTCAGCTCTTAGTAGGAGGATAACATGAATTTGAGATGAGTCTAGGGGCTACAGAATGACGCTCTGTCTTAAAAACAGAAACAAAAAACGTCAAAAAATAGGTTTCTTATTTATAAAGCCAGACTATGATATAATCATTATGTTTCTGCAGTTACTTCTTTCAGAGCTAAATTTTATTCAACTCATATTCATTTTATGATCCTTTGAGAACGTATATGAACCAATCATTTTTCAAGGTTGCTAGCCCCAGGAAGAGGATGCCCAGTGTTCAAACAAACTATTCACACTCAGTAAAAATGACAATGGGGTAATAAATGAGAACTTCCATTCCTTTCAACATAAGTTAATCATATTAGATCTGTCTTCCACTTACCTTTCTATGAAATTCTTCAGATTTCTGGAAGATGCACCTGAATAATTACAATAAACAATAATTGTTTAAGTGACACCACTGATGTGATTGTCTGGTTGGCTGAGTACACATGGACAATGTCATTGTTCAGCCATCAGAGGCTGTCCAGACCACTTTGCTGATGGCAATTGCTTATTTCTGGTGATTTTCTGTAGTATTTTACCTTGGGTCTCAACCTCAGGGGTTTTCTGCTTACTTGCATTCTACTAATAAGAATCTAAAGCCCTTTGGATTGGTGGCTTGGTATAGATGATTAAACGATTTAATAGATATAAGGAAAAAGTATGTATCTGTCTCCAAAGAGACAAAGTATCCCCAAAACTAAGGATCAGAGAAATAGTAAATAACAGACATCTTCCTGGATACCCTCCATTTAAGGTCCTGGTATTCAGAACACTGAGTCCTGAAGGTAGAGACTCTATCTGAATAGTCAATTGCTCTCTGCTATCTTCTAGAGGAAAAAACATTTATAAACTCCAGCCTGCCTAATGCTGCTGGTGTCCTACAGTGACTCACATATCTTCTGGGCCTTTCCTTCAGTTCTACCTCAGGACTCCCAATCTCTCATTTTCAGAATAGCAAGCAATCAAGAAGTATTATTATTATTATTCTCTGATGTTTTCTTAATGATAAACACCAATAAGAGTTCAAACCTTTGTTGTCCTAAAATTGTAGAACTAGGTCCAGCCAACCTCAAGTCCATCTAGGAATTTGATGTGCAGGATACCTCCAGAACTTCAGGAAAACAAGAGTGAAACATCGCTTATTAGATGGGTTATCTCTCCCTATAGACAACACCCCTTATGTCGCTCTTGGCCACTCTGGACAGGAATTGAAGACCAGTTGTAAGTAATTGTAGTAGATTTAAAAGAGCAGCCTTGCCGGGCGGTGGTGACGCATGCCTTTAATCCCAGCACTCGGGAGGCAGAGGCAGGCAGATCTCTGTGAGTTCGAGGCCGGGCTGAACCGACAGCCTCCAAAACAATACAGAGAAACCCTGTCTCGTAAAAACCAAAAAAAAAAAAAAAAAAAAAAAAAAGAGCAGCCTCATCTTGGGGTGGTGGTCACTGTAATATATTAGCATCCTGGAGGCAGAAGATGGAGCGCTCAAGGCCAGCCTGTCTTATCTTGTTGCAAAACAACAACAAACAAACAAGACACAAAACAAAAAAAATAATCACAAACAGGAAGCAAGGAACTACTTATTCTTACTGATTGCCTATTTTTTTTCTTGTACCCAATTCTCTTTGCTCCAAAGTCCTTGTATTTTTCATCATTTCATTGTGGAAATATCAATTTTGTAAAAAAAAGTAGTTTTTGTCTTTCCCACTCTATTCTTTCATATTCTCTTTTCTTTAATTTCTGCTATTCTTTTGCCAGACTCAGCACTACATCTTTCCCCTTCCTAGTCTCTATTGTCCTCTTCTATAGGTGCCTCCCCAGCTTCTAAATGTGGATTATCTACCACTAGAGAAACGACAACAGCAATGACAGCTGGTAGGTAATAAGCAACAAAGACAGAGCCTAGCCTGTGGCACATGGCAGAAAAAGGCAGATATTTGAAGAATTCACACATTTTGTACTTTGCAATTTTAGTTTCACAGAAATGAAGAAGTTTTAAAAAGTTATTTGTTAAGGTGGTGGGGCAGAGAACCTACATGTCCCCAATTAAGAATAGAAGATCCACACAGACCTTTAAAGGCTGAATTGTGATGTCCTTTAAATAAGGTGTATCTATCATAAGAAGAGAAGGTCTCATGACCTCAGCATCAATTAGCTCTCCCCAACTCAATTTCAACACATGGTCCCATTACTGATTTGGTGTTGACCATACCAGCAAGTACCTTACATTCTGTTTTCTCTCAACTTAGAAACCAATTTTGATTATCTTCTAAGTGAACCTGTTACTTTGAGTGCCTGACAGTAGGTCCCAAATTTATTCGTGAAAAAGGAGAATATTTAAATATAACCAGAATAAGTCACCATAATTTAAATCATTACTTCAGTAAAACATATTGAATGTTTTCTATTTCAAGTGTTATGATTGGCTCTAGGTATAGATAAGAGAACAGAAAATACACAGTCCTGTATTTTGGAAGTCTAATGTTACTAAATAAGCAATGGTCATAAAGTGTTGGGGATTCAGAAAGCCCTGAGGGTTGATGTCAAGATGTATCTCAGGAAATTTAGCTGTTTCCTTTACTGAGGTCTTGAAACAGGAACAATTAATTGGCCCACAATGCTCTGTGTGTAGTGCCCAGAAACAGTTGCAACTATCTGCAGTAGACCAAAAAGATAGTGGTTCTTTTTTTCTTTTGAGTTGTAGAGTTTACTTAATTCTGGAGACTCTCCTTAAGGAAAAGAACATAAACACAAAACAGATCCAGAAATTAGGCAGAAAATACAGTGCGGAGACAAGTTATGACCAACTGTGGTTAAAACACTGGAATCTTGCAACTTTTACATATAAATATTGTCAGGATTCAAGTGAGGGGACCCCAAATTTCAGCAGCATTAGCCTCAAAATATGCCTTTTGACCCCTTCACATCGTGTCACTAGTTCTTGGTCGGTCAGTCTAATTCATAGATGAGGCCCAGAAATAAAAAGAGAAATTCTTCTGCTGTCTAGTGAGCATTGCCATCACTGCAATGCCTGTTACTTATAAACATCACTGATTCGAAGTACATTATTTTAGTTCTTGTAAAAAAATCCATGGGGAGAATTAGGAAGTACATTTTAGTTTATTAACCACAAATACATTCAAACAAAACACATAGTGTCTCAGAACCATGTGTAGGAGTTCAAACTCAGATGTCTGCACAGCCTACAGGTGCCGTGCTGCTAAACCAGCCTAGGAAAAGCAGCTATTGCTCAGTCCTGTTGGATTCCTGTGGTCCAGGAGGGGTCACCATATCATCAGACTTGTCTTCAAAATGGAATTGAAACATGGTACTTTTTGCCAAAAATCTCCTGATTTTTAGACATTGGCAATGAATCCAGTGATTGTAAAAGATGCTTCATTTCATGATACAGATCCCACACAAGTTAGGTTTCAAAATGATTTGATTATTGAGAGAACCAGAGGGAAACATTGTATGTCAAGGACAAAATGTTAGGTCTGGGGAGATGGCTCAGTGGTTAAGAGCATGGCTGCTCTTACATAGGACCGAGGTTTGGTTACCCACATAGCAGTTTGCAACCATCTGTAACTCCAGTTCTAGGGGATCTGATGCCTCTTCTAGACTCTGCAGACACCAGGCACAAATAGTGCACAGACACGTATGCAGGCAAATACACTCACACACACAAAATAAAAATAAATAAATCCTTTTACATGACACAGTATTTCTCTGATTTCATGGGATGGTATACATTTTTCATGTGTGTAGAGACACTTAGATGGCTATTTCTTGAGAGAGGTTTTAGGATTTTTGCTTGCACACACACAAATGTTCACACAGTATGCACACATACACATATGTGGTGGTTTAAACAAAAATGCCCCCTAAAGGGAGTGGCACTATTAGAAGTTGTTGCCTCGTTGAAGTAGGTAAGGTCTTGCTGGAGGATGTGTGTCACTGTGGAGGTGGGCTTTGGGGTCTCATATATGCTCAAATCACTCTCAGTGAGACAGTTCATTTCCTGTTGCCTTTGTGTCAAGATGTAGGATTCTCAGCTCCAGTACCATATCTGCCTGGAAGACCACCATGATGATGATGGACTAAACCTCTGAAACTGTAAGCCACCACCTCAATTAAATGTTTTCCTTTATAAGAGTTGCTATGGTGATGGTGTCTCTTCACAGTAATAGAAAATAATTAAGACAACATGTGAGTTTTTATATATGTAACAGATTAAATATTTATGCTGCAAAAAAGGATGCATCATGTACAGAACAAAACACAGCTGTGGGCCATGTGTGTCTTCCCCTACCAGAGCTTTCATATGCAAGATGATAGTGTATCTACTTATTTTGAATAACTTTATCCCCCTTCATTTTCTGTTTGTGTCTTGTAACAGCAGATACTACTTATCTAAAATTTTAAGATTAAAATTATGATCCTTCTTGCTTTCTTTTCTGACAATATGGTCTCCACTCCCATTCTCCATATGTGCATGCATGAGTCTACAATTAGAAAAGGAAAGGGAAAGGGGAGGATTGAGGAACATAGTCCTTTTATCTCTTATTTGTCACACCCATGCCTTCTTTGCATGCCCTTTCTTCCTCCACAAAGAAGTTTACAACTTATGTCATAAAGTACAAATTTTTATCCTTTATTCTTCCTCATATATAGTATTTATTGTATTCTCTTTGATTTCTGATCACATTTTCTTTGATGATTTGTGATGCAAGGTCTTTGTTTAATTATTTGCTTATTTCATATGTGTGTGGAAGTATGTTTTTTAAGAGTAGGAATTCTCCCTAAAACAGTAACACGTAATAGTTGGATTGAATGACATTACCTGGTATCTATCAATCACATGTTTCCTAGCTCCATACATTCCTGGTAAGTCTCCAGCTGCAATCATTACTGTGTTTACATCTCCTTTCTGGTCTGTCAATTTTGTCTCATATACTTTGGTGTTCTGTTGTTAAGCCTTATATGATGTGGTAGTTTGAATGTAATTGCCCCCATAATCTAATAAAGAGTGGCGATATTAGGAGGTGTGGTCTTTTGGAGTGGGTATAGTCTTGTTGGAGGAAGTGTGTCACTGTGGGGGTGGGCTTTGATGTTTCCTATGCTCAGGTTACCACCCAGTGTCTCTGTCAACTTCCTGTTACCTACAAGATATAGGACTCTCAGCCACTAATACAACACCATATCTGCCTGCACACCATCATGTTTCCCATCATGATAATAATGGACTGAACCTTGAAACAGTAAGCAAGCCATTCCAATAAAATCTTTTCTTTATAAGAGTTGCCATGGTCATGGTGTCTTTTTGCAGTAATAAAAATCCTAAGTAAGATATTTATGTAATGACATAGCCTCTCA